GTGCTTCACATCCCCCTTCCCAAGCCCGGCTTGCTTTCTCTCCGCTGCACTTATTATCTCCCAGCTGTACTATCAAATGTCTCTGTTTCTGGTGTGTCTCCCCTACCGGAATGTGAGCCTCCTGACACAGGGATTTCTGTCCGCTTTGATCACTGTCAGATTCCCAGTGCCTAGCAGTTTCTAGCACATAGTAGACACTTTGTTTTTTAAATGGAGGAATGAACATAGCTTTTCATGACTTCTCTGACTCCCACCTTCACTTCTTTAGTCTCTCTTACATGTGGGCCCCCATGTTCAATCTCCAGAGACAAGGGCAGACTCTGAGTTCAGGTCAAGGTATTGTGCAGGAAGGTTTGGGGCATCGAGCCCCAAAGCTGTCGCTCACGCTCCTTGGCCGTTTCTGCCGGAGCACCCTGAAAGGGCTGGCCAGAGGAAAAGCAGCTTAAAATCTGCGAACAGATGGAATTAACCTGTGTGCTGCAACAGTAAGCCTCAAGCCAACAGACCGTTTCAACATACAGTCATGAGTAACAAAAGCAGTCTTGATGTGGAGTTAACACCTTTCTAGCCCTGGGTGGTGCAAATGGCTAAAGCGCTCAGCTGTGAACCAAAAGGCTGGAGGTTCAAGCCCACTGAGATGTCCCTCAGAATAGAGGCATGGTGATTAGCTTCAGAAAAAGCAGCCACTGCAAACCCTCCCAGAAACACATGGGGTCACTATGAGTAGGACTTGACTTGACAGCAACAACAGAATGATTTGACTGAAAAGACAGATAAGGAAACGCATTACAGTAAAGCTCTCAAAAGGATTAACATCCTGAGCTGGACAGTTCAAAGTACAACCAACGGTTGACAGCTCCAGAAATCCATTAAAATTTCACATTACTCCCTATTTTCAAACCAGAAGGTACTGATATCTCTAATCAAGGGAACAGGAACCTGAGTTAAAAGTTATCTCTCTACACAGAACAGTAAACAAAAGTCCTGCATTGATTAAGTAGTTAATGGTTCTTTCCTGCTAGCAATATTGGTTACCTGTGTTTACTAACATATAGATTATGAAGGACATTATCTTCAAAGTCAATGTTTAAGCACCTGGACTGTTAGGAAAGATGGCAGAATGAATGCATGTTTATGTAACTACTCCTGCCCTCCAAAAATTGAAACAGAAATTGTCTGTGATGAAGCCAAATTCTTAGAGAACAGAACAAACCACTACGAGATGCAGTAAGGCCCAAATGTCAGTATCTATAGCTCACTGTGTGCCAGGAAAAGCCAACAGACAACTGTCAACCCTGAGACATTCTGTACTGAAGTTACTACATTTCAAGGACAACACCTCACAAGTATGTGGGGCAAACAGGCAGGTTACCTCCCATTACCAACAGACATAGGAGACAATCAAGCAATATCGCCAAAGAACTGAAGAAGAGATGTGACCCAAGAGTCCGATAACCAGCCGCGCTGCTCCTAAGTAACAGCAAGAGAGATACATTTGTAAATATGCGAGAAAACCTAAGTGAAGCTGTAATCTAGTCCACCAAAAGGGCTGGCAGTGAACACGGAATTCATTCAAACATAGAATTAAGTCTAAATAACGATAGTAATTACCTGCAGCTATACACTTTAAGTTGCCTGTCTTTCTAGGTAAAAGCTGCCAAATCCATTCAATTAGCTCCTCTTACTAACTATGCCAAAATGAAAACACACAAAAGAAAACCTTTCTTCAATGGAATTATCTTGTACTATATAAAAGTTCTGGTTTATGTATTACCCTTAAGGGCTAATATACCCAAGAAATTCCTCAAAAGAGATCATACTAATCACCTGGTGTATTGTTGAGAACACCAGTCTGAGGAGAAGACCCAACCACCCACTTGGTTTCTGTCATTTATTTACCATGCCACCTCGACAAAGCACTTAACTGCTTTGAGACTCATATGAAAAACAGAGAATACCCGTGTAGTTCACCTCACAGTATTGTAAAGATCCAATGAGATGGTGTATATGAAAAGCTTTTGTCATCTAAAAGCAAGGCTATAAAACCATGTCTCTGTTTGGATGGAAAGAACCCAATATAATAAAAAGCCAAAAGCAGACGTTCAGAGACAAAGAAAGGATCAGGTGTCTCCTGTGGTTCGATTCCTACCATCCTTCCATTTCTCTATATTTTAAAATCATTTCTTGGTACAAGAAAGAGGAAATTCAGTACTTCCACAGTAACCAAAACAAACCAAACTCACTGCCGTCGAGTCAGACCCGACTCATAGCGACCCCTCCTTGGGTTTTCGAGGCAGTATCACTACAGAAGTAGATTGCCCAACCTTCCTTCCGAGGAGTGGCTGGTGGGTTTGAACCGCCAGCTTTCTGGTTAGCAGTCAAGTGCCTTAGGCACTACCCACCTGAATTATTTGTATATTGGAAACAAAGACAGATTAAGAACTTTGAAATACAAGCTAAATGTTTGTCAATTTTCATTTTTTTGATTCAACTAATTAATATTTAGGGTGATGTTTAGTAGAAACAGGGAAACCAACTATGTGCCACACACTATTCCAAATAGTATAACGTTTCAAGTAAAATAGAGTAAATGAGGGGGAAATAAGAACAATGAGAAGTAACCAAATTTAGCTGACAAGGGGGCAATGTCTATTTATATTACAACCTACATGCAGAAATTTGACTATATTCTTATAAACAAATCTAGCAAACAGCCAGAAGGATGTGTCTAAGTTCAGAGACTCATGTACAGCCAACAAAAATGGACGAATACTTGAGTAAAAGGGCTGGTAGAACTGTGAGGCTGTGAGATGTTTCCGGAACCCTTCTTGGGGTTGCTTTAGGAGCAAAGTTAAATGCAGAAAACAAAGACAGGAGAGGCGATACTGTACTGGGGTCCAATGGATATGAATATGAAGAGCATATTAGAAAAGGGTTACTACCTGGAGGCCATTATGCTGAGTGAAGTAAGTCAATCACAAAAGGACAAATATTGTTATTAGTTCATTATTGTAAAAAGTCAAGGAAAGATTTATATATGGAAAGAAACTTTCTTTGTTAGTTACCAGGGGTGAGAGGGGAGGGGAGGGAACACTGCAAAAAAAAAGAAAAAACAAAACAAAACAAAACATTGACTCATGTCACATTAGTTTTGTGTATTTCACTGTATATAAATTATATTTCAATAAAATGGATTTAAAAAAGGGGTTACTAATTAAGTTGTTAAAGCACTGTGATAATCTTTACTTTTGAAAAAGACTTGTAAAGGGAGGAATGTAATAGGATTTTCCCACCCCATAGTTTTTCAATCTTTGCAGGTGGTGCTGTGATGGCATAATGATCAATGAACATAACAATGGTAAATCACATAATAAAAACAATGACAGAACAAGGCAACAGGTAATACTACCTGAATGTGCTGAGCCCCCCACCTCTAGAGTATATCATACTTGAAAACGTAAAAGCGTAAAGGAAACTGAGGCCTAGTGAGGAAGACACCAATGTGCTACCTAATGTTTACAAGGAAGCTAGGATCTTTAACTGCAAAGGACCATTATTTTTACATCATTTACACTGTAAAAAAATAATCATATGGAACAGCCGCATCTCTATGACACCAAGTTATTCCTCAAAACAATGGCCCCTGTATGGCCCACCTTGCCATCAGAAAGCACATCAATAATCCTTTGACCGGACTGATTAGAAATGAGCTCTCTGATGAGATGCTTTTAAGGATGGAAAAGATGAGCGCTTTCTAAAGGTGAAGGGAAGTACCCTGAGACCAGGTAATATAATGATATGGCAGAAAATCAGATTCAGTAGAACTAAGAAAAATGATGTAATCAACCCAGGTGCAGCTAGCTGGTCAGAGCACAACTTCTCCCGGCAAAAATCCCCCACTGTGGTTGCAGTGGAGATAACCACACTGACCCTAGCTTATGACTAAAGGCTGAAGAATACAAGTTAAAAAAGTTTCACATCAGTGGGACTTGATACGTAAAAACTAGACTGAATACATCTCTGTGGACATTAAAAGAGAGGGGAAGCCATCTGAGATATTATAGTGAAGAAAAACACATACTGTGGAGCTGTGGAAAATGCTGACTTTAATACGGACTCACAGATAGCTTCTCTCTCTAAGGGTAAATATTGAATGACTCCTCTTTCTTACCCCAAGTCCTCTGCCAATTTCCACTTCCAACTTTCAGCAAAAAAGTAAAGGACTGTGAAAATCAGATTGAGTTGACCATTCTAAAACTGGCTCAAACCTAGGGCACTTTTCAAAATAGACTAGAAAGAACTCCTTTCCCTTCAATAGTCCATTTTACCACACAGGGCCTTCCAATTCCTTAGAAGACTACAAAGGAATGAATACAATATGACAAAGGTACATGATTAGATTGGTTAAACATTTACATAAGCATAACAAGTCTACTTCCCACTGTTCATAAACTTGCTATTGATCAGAAGGCAGCTTTTTTAATTCCGATCTTTGGAACCAAGCAGTTAAGTGAAAAAATCCAAGACAACTTTTGGATCACTTTAATCAACAGAATGGAAGTATACAAATGAATTTTAAAATAAAATCAATGCATCGATGAGTAAGATCTAACACAAAAGTACCCACACATCACAATGAGAACACGATCAGATGGAGGAAGGCAAATGTCTAAATCAGAGTGGAGGAAAAGTGCATATGGAAGAAGGACTCGGGGACTGGATTATTAAGACCTGCTTAGCTGATGCCTTCAAATTCCAGATTCCCTAAGCCCTAGTTGGTGGTTTGCGACAAACACAGTATTTGGTCACAAAGAGCAACAGTAGGTATCTGTTGTGTCAGGAATGGAGAAGAGCTTGGAATCCTGGGAAGACTGTAGACACTTGACTCTATGATAATGAGGTGGAGGGTATGAGGACATGAGAGCTCTCGGGGGGCTCTGTGGTCTTGTGTGCCAGGCGCCTCTCACAACACAGCAAAGTACTACAAAAAAAATTAGTCAATTTACAAATTACTAGTTTTTATGGAAGAGCTGTGGTAGCTACAGGAAGGGCTCCATGGAAAAGGTCCAGCTGATATGGAGAAAACACACATTCAAGCACTGGAGTAACTATGGTTCTGCGCTCAGAGTTGGTAGAGGAAAGGAGTTCTTTCTGGTTGACTCGTAGAAGATGATCTTTTTCACAGAGAGGACCAGAGCATTCTGTTCCCTACAAAGTTCTATTAGTCTTGATCTTGTCCCTACAAAGAAATAACAGTAATATCCACAATGAATTTATGAGTACAACCTCCTCTAGCTTAATCAGAACTCACTCAGAGCATTTGGTTATAGGGATACTTCAAATACTCTTGCCTGATCTTAGGACTCTGTCCTACAGTTCCTACAGGAAAAGAGTCCATTTAATTACTTACATGTACTTTAAACAGGGAGCTCTGGTAGCGTAGTGCCTAAGGCATTTGACTGCTAACCAGAAGGCTGGCAGTTCAAACCCACCAGCCACTCCTCGGAAGGAAGATGGGGCAATCTACATCCGTAGTGATACTGCCTCGGAAACCCAAGGAGGGGTCGCTATGAGTCAGGTCCGACTCGACGGCACATAACAACAACAATTTTAAAACAGCTTTCCCTTCCAGTTAAAAACCTGATTAGAAATGGGGTATGGCTGCTAATGGGTTTAAGTTTTCTTTTTGAGGGGATGAAAGTGTTCTAACTGGATAGAAATGAGGGTTGCGCAACTCTGTGAATATACTAAAAACCACTGCATGGTACACTTTATTAAGGGTGAATTGGATGGTGTGTAAATTATATCTCAATAAAACTGTTATTTTATTTTTTTAAAAATCTGATTAGAGAATAAAGTTTCTTAGAATTTCTCATGTGTAGCTAGTGAATTTATCATATCTACTGGGAAAAAAAAAAAACCTCACTGCTGTAGAGTCAGATCCAACTCACAGCGACCCCTCCTTGGATTTCCGAGTTGGTGTCACTATGCATTAAAACAATAATGACCACTATATGCAATAACAAAAGAGCTCTGGTGGCATAGTGCCTAAGGCATTTGACTGCTAACCAGAAGGTTGGAGGTTCAAAACCACCAGCCACTCCTTGGAAGGAAGATTGGGCAATCTACTTCTGTAGTGATACCGCCTCAGAAACAAAGGAGGGGTCACTATGAGTTGGATCCGACTCAATGGCAGTGAGTTTGGTTTATATGCAATAACATGGATGAAACTCACAGAATGAGATGTAAAAAGAGTACATACTATATGTTCCTTTTATGTTGCATTCAAGAAGTGGCAAAACTTAGCTATGGTGATAGAAGGTCAGAATAATGGTTACATGGGGTAGGGGATGTATGTAGGAAGCATCTGACTAAGAAAGGGCCTTTTGGGGTGCTAGAAGTATAGCAAAAATTCATCAAGCTATAAACTTAAGATTTGTGTACTTTCCTGTAGACGTGTTATAGTTCAGTAAAAATAAGTACTGATTGAAACATATAAAGTAATAAAATCTACAATACCCATAATAATACTCAAACAAGAAAAAGTCAGACTCATTTGTCACCATTTAAGGTGGATTTTAAACTTATTTCTTACCTTGAAAATTGGTAATTAAAGGGAAAGATTTACATACTTATCCCATGTTGCCAGGAAGAACTGTAATTCAAGGTACCTAAATGGCCTCAGCTGGCGAGGAAGACTTTTACAGGAGAGTGTCAGCAAATAATTATGAAAGTCGTGATATTTTAAAAATATCATTTACAAACTCTACTAAAATTCTTGATTCAGGCCAAAATTATAAACTAATACAAAAAAACATTAGATGGATGACGGCTGACAGATAACTATACATTCATAAGTGCCAAAAGAATATCACACAGATTATTATTCAGTTGACAAGGGAAAATATAACTATACCTTGGAGGGAATAGACCTAAACTATGGTCAATCTTAACGTCATTAATGGTGTACCGACCAGATAATCACGGGTCTCATAGTGTAATTCTAGTAAAAACATGCTTAATTTAATAAAAAAAAAAAGACAAAAACAAAAAAAACATCAAGTCTTAAGCTCAACTTCCAGTTTACAGGAAATATATGGGAGCAAGCAAAGTGACATTTCGAAGAAGAAATCAAACAAGGTGGGGTATTTTGCAGGACAAATGGCATGGTCTGTCAACAAAGAATAATTGTTCTAGATTAAAAACAACCAGATGTGTTATACAGCCCTGTAATGGATCCTGGTTTGGACAAATCCAGGGAAGTTAAAATTATCAGTTAATTGAATACAAAAATTTTTCCCTAAAAATTATGTTAAGGATGTTAAGAATCAAGGTTTTCAGAGTAAGAAATATATTCAATTAAAATATATTAAGAAGAAACACTGCAATGTTAAAACAGAAATAAAATATCAGATGCAAATATATTGGCATAGAAAGGTGGGGATGGTCAAATGAAATAAAAGCAGCTTATAAAACATATATGACTAGTATGGTCTTCTTTTTGAAAAAACTACATCCAAATAGCAAAGTGGCTGAGAGGACACTTTGTTACTGCATACAAGCATACCCTGGAGATATGGTGGGTTCGATTCCAAACCACTGCAATAAAGTGAGTATCACAATAAGATAGGTCAGATGAAATTTTTGGTTTCCCAGTGCATATAAAAGTTATATTTGCACTATACTGTGGTCTATTAGGTGTGCAATAGCATTATGAAAGAGTTTGAAATACTGTGAGAATTATGAAAATGTGACACAAAGACACAAATGAAGTGGGCACATGCTGTTGGAAAAACGGCGCCAACAGGTTTGCTCGACGCAGGGCCACCAACCTTCAATCTGTAAAAATCGCAGTGTCTGCAAAGTGCCATTAAACAAGGTATGCCTGTATATTTGCATAATAAAGCTGTAACAGTGGTAATCTCTGGGTTGCAGGAATAAGGGTTTTTTTTTCCTTTTCTCTTTTGCTGCTTTGTATTTACAATTTGCATATACTACTTTATATCAGGAGCTCTGGTAGTAATTTGCTACTCAGCAATGGATAACCAGGGAGCTCTTGTGGCGTAGTGCCTAAGGCACTTGACTGCTAACAAGAAGGCTGGCGGTTCAAACCCACCAGTCACTCCTCGGAAGGAAGATGGGGCAATCTACTTCCGTAGTTATACTGCCTCGGAAACCCAAGGAGGGGTCGCTATGAGTCGGGTCCAACTCAGTCAAATGCCTTAGGCACTATGCCACCAGAGCTCCTCGAAACCCCTATAGATGATGACAAATTTCAAAGTTAATAACTTCTTAAATAAAATTCATGGCAGGACAAAGCCCTGCTCACCACTGTTGGAAACTTTAAAAGCTCTATGGTATGAGATTCTACAACAGGGGACATTTATATGGCTACTCTGGCTACCCAGTTCTTGCCACCGTTCCTGTTTGGGTGAAAAGTCCAACCCTTCTTTCTCTAGAGATCACTTTGCTTCGCCAGTGATAAAACTGCAAAGAAAATTTGACCAAAAGATATTAGTGAATCGTCTGGCTGCCTAGTATATTCTGGGGGAAAATCAGATATTTTCTAATGGAAAGCAAAGTGGTAAATTACTGTTTAGCCTTGTATTTGGAAGCATCTCTGGGTTCACTGCTAGGATTGCTCCAATCATCAGCTTCAGGTGTGGTCTTGTAATGGCGCCATGCTGACTTATTGAAAACCGGAAGTCTCTCAAATGATTCACTTGAAAGAGCCTATTGGCAAAACAAAAACATACACCAAAGGTCCACAGTGTTATTTTTCTCACACAAAATACTAACCCAAATTTTACTATTTAAAAAGTTAAAAACTCAAACCAAACACAGTGCTATCAAGTCAATTCTGACTCATAGCAACCCTACAGGGCCGAGTAGAAGTGCCCCATAGGGCTTCCAAGGCTGTGCTCTTTATGGAAGCAGACTGCCGTGTCTTTCTCCTGCAGAGAGGGTGGTAGGTTCAAACTGCCAACCTTTCTGGTAGCAGCCCGTGCTTAACCACTGCACCACCAGGGTTCCTTTTTTAAAAAAAGTTAGAAACCTTAACACATACTTTTGAACTTGTATTAAAACTGCATTTTACTAGTTTACTTAGACTAGCCAGGAGAAAATTAAAGCATATTTTTAAAGGAATAAAAACATTCACTAATTCAAAACCAGTACTCTAGTACACATCACCAGAAAAAAAAAAGCATTTTAATTCCATTAATACTCATAAAAAGACCAGACCTACTGGTCTGACAGAGGCTGGTAGAACTCCTCAGACTATGGCCCTTAGATGTCCTTCAAGCCTGCAACCAAACCCATTCCTAAAGATCAACTTTCAGCCAAACAGTCATTAAAAGTGAACACCACCAGGGAGGAACGTATAGCTTAGGACAATCAACCATATGAGACTAAAAAAGCAGCATTTGCCCCAAAACACAGCTCAGAAGGCAGGAAGGGGCAGGAAAGAAGGACAAACGGAAACCGAGAACCCAGGGAGGAAGTGGGAAGAAGGCTGTTACACTGAGGGGGTTGTGACCTTTGGCACAAAATGTGTATAAACTGTTGAATGGGCAACTAATTTGCTCTGTAACCTTTCATCCAAACTACAATTGGAAAAAAAAAGAAAAAAAGTAAGACGAGAAATAGTTCCATTAATAGCACTTTGAGATACTCAGCTTTCTTGACTACATGCTCTTAGAACAAGCACCATTATTCACTGGGCAATTATTCTCTCAAAGGGTCCAGGAAGAAATAAAGTTTTATACATATAGGATTTATAAACATAAGCCCATAAAGTGATATCAACTATCATATCATCTAGAAGCATTGCATTTAAAATAAATACTCTAAAATAATTGGCTAAGTTGTGGTATATAACATACAGTAACATGACATGCAGCTGTTAAAAAGAATTAATCAGTTCGTCATGAACTGATATGGAATGATTACCAAGATCTAGTGGTAAGTTTAAAAAAAAAAAAAGCA